GCGTCTTGTCTAAATCGCTTTCTCTCTTCCCGCACGGATTAGTGCACCCTCAACATCCTTACGCACCTTCATTTGTATGAATATTAATTAGCGCGACCCTTACGCACCCTCAAAAATCCGGCCCGAACGGCCCCTATATTACTACTGATGACAGACCCCATTTGACCAGGTTTTTCCGAGTAGGGAGGGAGTTGTTGATATAGCGGACAGTGATATAATAATAATAATAATAATAATAATAATAATAATAATAATAATAATAATAATAATAATGGAAACTTTATTACTTTCAATAATATATATACACACTACAATGATAAACCTCTCTTTACAGGTAGTTTACCAGTGTCTACTTGAATTAACACTCTACATAATAACAATATTAGTATGACATTAGTTGTGGGTTATCCCATTCTTTGTTGCGCTTACAGAATATATAATACGAGGACCTGATACATATGTTAATAATTTTCCGAACATAGTACTTTCTACATTGTTCATCAAACTTTAGATCCTTCAGCATTTCGGTGAAATCTAGCGACGGGTGGCTGAAAACTCCTAATGAGCTAATCGGTAAATTTACAAATTTCACTTTTTCATAATTTTTGAGCTGTTCGTTAATTAGATCTTGATATTTTTGTCTTTTTCGAGTTGCATTAGTGAGGAGATTAGATTCAAATCCGACGGTAAGTTCAAGTATATAAATACATTTGTTTTCAAGTGTTATCAAAAGATCAGGGCGCAATTCATCTCCGGTGATAGCAGATGGACTGATATAGTAAGGAAGGTCAGCATAAAGGTTACAATGGTTCACAGATTTAAGTATGGATGCTATGAAGTTAAGCACCGAATCATGACGCCACGTGAAACGTCCTTCATTTAGGTAGGTCTTGCATCCAGCGACGACGTGAATTATTATAATAATAATAATAATAATAATAATAATAATGGAAACTTTATTACTTTCTATAATATTTATTTACACACTACAATGATAAACCTCTCTTTACAGGTAGTTTACCAGTGTCTACTTGAATTAACACTCTACATAATAACAATATTAGTATGACATTAGTTGTGGGTTATCCCATTCTTTGTTACGCTTACAGAATAATATATAATACGAGGACCTGATACATATGTTAATAATTTTCCGAACATAGTACTTTCTACATTGTTCATCAAACTTTAGATCCTTCAGCATTTCGGTGAAATCTAACGACCGGTGGCTGAAAACTCCTAATGAGCTAATCGATAAATTTACAAATTTTACTTTTTCATAATTTTTGAGCTGTTCGTTAATTAGATCTTGATATTTTTGTATTTTTCGAGTTGCATTAGTGAGGAGATTAGATTCAAATCCGACGGTAAGTTCAAGTATATAAATACCAGCATGAGCTCCACCTTTGAATTTACTATATGAGTAAATTCTTAAACACGTCCGAATTTATCATTATGATAAATTCGCGGCAAATTTTGAATTTATCATAATAATAAATTCGCGACACGTAACACTAACCCTAGCCCCAACCCCAACCCAACCCTAACCACTAACCCCTAACCCCTAACCCCTAACCACTAACCCCTAACCCTAATTTTTTTAACTTTTTAAATTTTTTTAACTTTTTTAAAAATCTAACTTTTTAAACTTTTCTTGCTTTTTAAAACTCTTTTGAAACTTTTTAAAACTTTTTTAAAAACTATTTTCTTAAAAAACTTGAAAAACTTACAAACTTGAAAACTAATAGAAGTTGAGCTTTTCAGGGCAAGACCAGTTCTTATTTCTCTTACAAAATATGTAGAAAGTGGCACGAAGTGCAACCTCCATACATTTTGTTATGATACGATCGTCTTGCAAATGTAACAACCTACATAGCCTACGAAATTGGCCTATGCTCTTCGTGACGAAGCCTAGAGTAGTGACTTCCAAAGTTATAACTTTAAATCTATCACACGGTACGAGTAACTGTGATCGCAATACCCGATATTTTTCTTATGCATAATTAGCAATTTACCTGGGGTGGTGCATGGTCATTTTCTTGTAAAATATTATACTTAGACAAATTTTTCCTTCCATTAACCACCCATAAAAGCAACCCTTCTAAGCACTATAAGCACTTCAGAAAAGCTGTTCCTTTTCGTTTTCGGAAGTAAGAGCTATGTCGGCACTGCCGTTTCAGGGCGGGGTCATTTACAGGGCTTTCGCCCCGGATTCAGGTTTTGGCACATATGCCATGTTGACCGCCATGGTCATTTTACCCTAAAACTGTTGAGATTACCTATGCTAAATGAAACACATACAAATATCTATACAGGTCCTTGACTATTTAACAAATATCCAGTAAGTTTAACTGCGAAAGGAGCGGTTTTGTACGTGCACGATATCATGCGTTTGTAATTGCCCGCACAGCGCGGTTTTGCATCAAAAGTAGCCTATTCAGGTTAATGGGATAAGTAGAACCCCAGGCGTTATAGTATAATACAACATTAACTTTGCATTGGTCGACAAACAAAAACGAGATCGGTACATTATTCCCACTGATTTGGAGATCTTTTTATACAAATATAAGTAATATGTTCTGTCCATGTTATATTTTCATCAATAACAACAATAAGTACTACTGAGGATTTAACGACATAGTCTTTTTGAAGTGCTTCACCATTAAACGAGAGAGTGACAAATCAGTATTGATTCTTTTTTTGTTTGATTTGAAAAACACGTAATTGGTTTTCTTTATATTAATTAACATAGAGTTTGTTCGCCTTCATCCAACTGTCAAATTTCGATAATTCATTGTTTAAAGTATCATTAAATTGTTGAATGTTGGAATGAGAATAAAAAGACTGGTATCACCTACAAACAAAATAGTTTCAATTATATATCTGAAACATTGGACAGGTCATTAATATAGAAGATAAAAAATAACGGTCCTAATATAGAACCTTGTGGCACACCACATTTGATAGTTTGCAGAGATGAAGAAACATTGATATGTTGTACAAATTGTTTGCGATGAAGAGAGTAACTTTTTATCCATTTTAGTGCCAGTCCACGAATGCCATAGTGCTCAAGTTTACAAAATAAGATTTCATGATTTAAATTATCAAATGCTTTGGATAAATCTAAGAATACTCCATCAGTGGAGTATGAGAGTTGAGTGACCTTTCCGGAATCCAAATTGATTGTGGTAAAGTACATTGAATCGTTCAGCGAAGATAACTATAAGCGGTTATGCATTATCTTCCCAATGAAACATTTTGAGAAATTGGTCAAAAGCGATATAGGTCTATTGTTACTGAACAGTTCAGGATCATTCGGGGGGCATCATATGCATCCGCTTTCATTGGATATCGGGATTAGTTTAGCTATTTTTAATTGGTCCGGAAATATTGCTTTGCTAAAGGAAAGATAGGTATATGGGTATATTGTCGAAGCCCGCAGCTTTGCCAGACTTAAACGTCATACAGGTCTGTTCAAGTTCTGCCAGAGTCGCAGGTTTTAACCAAATCGTTTCTGTAATACTTGTTTACGCTATCAATATTATAAAATTAATTATGGAACACTGAAAATGTTTTGGTCATTCAAAGAGGAACTTTTATTTCACCTATGCAAAACTTGCCAGCTTTGGTAGCATTGGTATATGCATGCACTCTTCCAGTAAAACGGCATGCTCGCTCACTAAAGTCAGTGAAGTGGTTTGGCTGGACAGCTCTGCGACATAAACACATAAACAAAAAACTAGATATAAGGCACGAATAGAAGCAATGGGACAAACACAAGGTAGATTTGTAACTGGTTTAATTGCTTATTTATTTGTTGGCTTTGTCGCTTTAAAAAATTTCGAAATTTACGTTTGGATCAAGGACACGATCTGCTCCGTTATAGGCTACACCTGCATGTACACTACATATACATGTATATTAGATTCTATATTGGGAAACATTTTCCACATTACCCGTAAATATCAAAACACGCAGTTGAAGTGCTGGCAAGTAAATATTCAAACTGTCCAAAGACATACCACTGAAGTGAGTTGCATGACTACATTTCAATGTTAAAAGAGATTCGCTAGTTTGCAATGTTTCGAATCATTTTCCGCTTTTGCCAATGCTTCCGTATTAAGCATGGAGTGGCATATCTATATATATATCTATGGATCACCTGTGGCGTTAATTTATTTTATATAAGGATGATAAATGGTGCTCTTTTATTGATTCCAAGGCAAGAAATGCTGTATAAAACTGACACTAAACCGAATATGCTCCACATTTTTACCTTCATTTCTTTGTTCATCATTTTGTCCATGTTTGTTTTCATTCTCTGTAACTTTCTAAATAAAAGACGCGGTGATGTTACATCTGGATTCCAGATACGGACGAGCTACTGTAGCACTTATCTCAACGTCTCTTATAATTTCCTATATATAGGAAACGGCACACGTCATGTCTATATATATATATATTGAAAATAATTCATTTAATACTTGCAAGGGTTTGACTCGAATTTTGAGTTAAGTCAATATTTTTGACAATTTTCATTTGAATCATCTAGTTGGAATTACAGGCTTTAATTTGTCTAAAACGAATTAAATTAAGCTATGTATCATGCAAACATTATTACAAAGTTACCTCCATATTGGATGATTTTTTTCCTTGACTCGTACTGTTCTCAGATATACCAGGCGTAACAACATCATAAGTCAACGTACATTCCTCTAACCATTCTACCAAGCTAGAAATCTCATCACTTTGATGTATACGATGATTTTCTAAGGAAGCCATATGTCGGTCTTTCAATTATGTAACGCGGAGACAGTGCGTTTTGATGACACCATGAATGCCAAATAATCTAGAAAAATAGAATTATCAATAATTAAAATGTTCACTCGGTATGCTTTTATAGAAAATGCATTTTGAATAATTCTTTGTTGACTCCTGCATTTGTAAATTCTGAACGCTGATTGGCTAAGAGCAGTGTTGATATAAATCAATGTCAACACGGAAACGTCGGAAAATTTGTGCTATATTATAAAACAAATTGTGAAAACTCGAAATTGTGCGAAAACTCGGGAAAATTGGGAAAACTCGAAACTCGGGAAAATTGGGAAAACTCGAAATTGTGTGAAAACACTCCGCCCTTCGGGCGTCGTGTTTCCACACAATTTCTCGTTTTCCCAATTTCCACTCATGTTGATATAACTGTATATCAACACGGAAAATGTTTTATATTTTTAAGTATCACACGTTGGTGTTTGTTGGTGGGAACATATGTAATACTAAAATCTCCTGGAAACTTTTAGTTTTTATTAGTCAAGAATGACACTTTTCAGTATTAAGCTTTCGATTTGACGACGAATTGTATTGTATTGTATATTGTATTGAAACTTTATCTAAACACGGTAGAATCATGAGTACAAAATTACATTATATAAAAAAAAAGATAAAACTATATACAAAAGCTAGGACAAGTAATGCATGTATTCACTGATTTACATGATTGCCGTGCGGGAGTCCACAGAACTAGTTACCAACTTTCTAATTTAACCTGCTAAAGACACTGAAGGATTGTGCCGAACGAAGTTCAGTTGGTAAACTATTCCACAAAATTGCTTCATCATAGCTGAAGGAGCGCTTTACACTGCAAAAAATCAATTTCTTGTTTTAAGAAAATATTACTTATTTTAAGCACAAAATTACTTGTTTTAAGAAAATTTTACTTGTCCCGTGGGTAAGTAAAATATTCTAGGTAAGAATCAGATTTCAAGAAAATTTTTCTTAAAATAAGAAAATTAATCTTGGTTAGAACAAAATTCTTGGTAAGAAAATTTTTCTAATTTTGTCCCGTGGGTAAGTAAAATATTCTTATCAAGAATATTTTTCTTATTTCAAGAAAACGTTCTAGCAAAATTTTCTTATTTCTAGAAAAAAATTCTTAGTTTCCCAAGAATTATTTTCTAGTAATAAGAAAATTTTGCTAGAACGTTTTCTTGAAATAAGAAAAATAATCTTAATAAGAAAATTTTACTTACCCATGGGACAAAATTAGAAAAATTATCTTGAATTGAAATCCTGCTAAGAAAATTATTCCAGTTCGATCCGGTGTGCATGGCTTTTAAGAATATTTTTCTTAAATGACAATATGAAACTAGAATAATAATCTTGGCATGATTTTTTGCTGTTGTCATCCTACAATATAAAAACAATTAAGAATGTTTAAAATAATATATTTACCAGCTACAGTATACATGAATAGGTTATTAAAGTAATTACTGATAGATAAATGTAAAAGTTCTCACACGTAGCAATATTGTTCAATTTCTTGAAAAGCCTTTACCATGTCAGACTGCTGAGTCTGGATGGGTAGTCTAAGTCGAGCAGGTACAGTAGAACAACGCCAGGAAGTAAAGATGGCTTTTACAGTTTCGCTATTCTCGAATGTTGCCAATAGCTCCATGTCATGATCAGCCCTGATACAGTATGTCATTGGGTCTCATTTGCAGCCAGGTAGTCAAGTCTGTGTCTCCTTCCTTCTGAGGAAAAAAAACAACACAAAAATAGTTTTGGTAACAACTACACAACCCTCATTAATTAACAGCTTATGTTTTCACTAACAAGCTCAGAGGTGGAAAAAATATTTTACTTTCTGGGACAGCAAAAAGTTCATTGAAAAATTTTCTGCAAATGATCAAGTAAATCGACACTCGGCCAATGTAACTGTGTGACACCTAACAAGTTGTCAAACTGGATGTCATGCTACATGTATATTTACAGAAAAAAAAATAATTTCAGTGCACTGAGAATCTTAAAATATAACATAAAGCTAATATAGATAACATGCATCAAGAGTCTGATCCTAAAGTAAATACAGATGCAAAATTGGCACTGGGGGGCACTATCAGGTGGATCCATGCTCTAGCTCCCAGAAAATTTTGAAATCAAGTGTCCCAGATTGGCTGAAAATGCATTTGCTATACAACAATTGTTACATCATTCTATAGTCTAATACATTTATACACTATCGCAAAACTATCGCACTATTAAGATGGTTGCACTTATAATTGCATTTCTGAGGTCATGGTGTTAATTTTCCTCTGAATTTCTTCTTTTATCTGAATTATTACAATTTTTTCTTTCTTGGGGAAATATTTTCTGGGAACTCAAAAAAATTTCTGGGACCAATGGTCCCGTGGTCCGATACTTTTTCCACCCCTGAACAAGCTATCCCCTGGGGTTATAGACAGAGCGAAATACTATGATGGATGGAACATTGTTAGCCCATATTAACTTTATCTCAACTATAGGAAAGCTCAAAACTAAGAAGATGTATATGTACAGTGTACACTAAATTTGATTCAGGCCTTACTAAATGAATTTTATAAAATGAAACTATAACCTCACCTCAACAAAATTTATGATGTCCAGTTTGCTCTTAGCAGGTTGACTTTTTGATTTGAAGAGTGAATTAAATGTTCTTCATTAGGTGAAGTACTTTCTGTAGAATTACATACATAAAAAATAATATTAATTAAGTTACCGGTACATTTTTAATAGCATTGTGATATTTTGAGAGCTAGAAAATGCAATTTTGATTTTTGATATCATTTATTAGTTACCGGTACAGCATAAACCAAAATGCATTTGCCATACAACATTTTTTACATCGTTCTATAGTCCAATACATTTATACACTATCGCACTATTAAGATGGTTACACTTATAATTGCATTTCTGAGGTCATGTTGTGAATTTTCCTCTGAATTTCTCTTTTTATTTGAATTATTACAATTTATCTTTCTTGGGAAAATATTTTCTGGGAACTCAAAAAATTTTCTGGGACCAATGGTCCCGTGGTCCGATACTTTTTCCACCCCTGGTGCTAATGAATCCAATGTTGGTACCGGTACTCTAATTAATAAAAAAACAAAATGATATCATATAATTACCAGATCACTGTTCATGTGGTGGCTTCATAACTCCTTTTGAAATGCCATGATAGTAAATAAGTGGGTCCAATTGGTCAATCAGCTGCTGCTTTTCACAATTCCTCATGTATGCACTTTCTTCTGCTTCTTTGGATTGATTGAGGCTCCTCCGATCTTCTTCAACAACCTGCAGACATATTGATGAGTGATAATGTAAATTTTTTGAAAATAACCGCATACCTTATTCCAGAGTTTTTATAACCATGATACTGTAGCTCATATATATACCTTACTCAGTAGTCAGTGGTATAACTTTACTTTTTTGACCATTTGTCATCAGGGCAAGTTCAACTTGCCAAGTTGGATATGAAAATTAGTTGCCGTGAATAAAATTCACTTGCCATGAGACAATGGCCACTGGGGTACCCAGGTAGGGGCTATAAATTAAGGAGACAACATGTCGACACATTCTTCCACTGCTCTAGATGGCTATGTTATACTGCTTCAGACCTGGCTATGGCCCACAGAAAAACAAAATTTGAATCCATGCACATGTACAACATGCACTGCATAAAAAATTTATCTGGCAATGAAAACATAAACTTGATGCCCAGCTTTTTGTGACAATGATATTCACTTGCCCCGGGCAAGTGTTAAATTACAACTGTGTTACTTATTGAAAGCATAATGATATAACTTGGCTAACCAATTAACCACCATCACTCTCCCACTCACAAATAAAATTGTCTGGCATTAGACAGGAATACAATAAAGGGTGCGATGCAACTTCATGGGTTAAAATTTGACATTTTGACTGTGGGACCATGATTTCTCGAACTCAAATTGACCATAATGACTCAAATTTTCCCATGAAAGGAAATAAGTAATTTATTTGTAATCATTCTATTATGTAGGATAGAGTTTATAACATACGAAAGAATTTTTGCAGCAAAATCCATTAGATTGGTATAAAATGTAACGGCGATGGTGTTGGTATTTGTGATTTAATATGCTATTGCCTCATATTCCAGAAAACATTCATATGGTTATGATTTAACCTCAGTTGTATGTGAGATAAGTGCTACTTGTTTCAGTAACCCGTTGAGTGATGGCACTGACAGGTAAAATCATCTGACATTAGACTGAGTAAAACAATAAAGTTGTGGCACAATGCAGCTTATGCAATGTACGGCCTAGTGTAATATCCCGTTAACACCCCATCTCATCTAGCTTGCAATATGAAC